GGTTAGATGAAGGAATGCTGGGAGACCTGGTAAAGCTCTCTTTTCAGGTGTGTCCATGAGGGTGTTACCAGCAGAGATTAGTATGAGAGTCTGAGTGGCCTGGGTAGGAAAGAACCACCCTCAGTGTGGGTGGGAACCATCTGATCCACTGGGATCCAGGGAGAACAAAAGACAGAGGGAAGAGGTGAGGCTCTGTCTTGATCGGCTGGAGCTGGGACACACTCCTGTCTCCTGTCCGTGGACATCAGCGGTTGAGACTCTTCTGCTTTTGGGTTCCAGGACTTACACCATGGACACCATCAGCTTCCCTGGTTCTGAGGCCTTTGGACTGGGACTGAGCCATGCCACCTGCATCCAGTTTATAGACGCCTTTGGTGGGACTTTTCCTCATTGCCACGTGAGCTAGTAAATCCCTCTCATGTCATTCTAACACATCCTACTGATTCTGTCTCTCTGGAGAACCCTGACTAACACAGATGTTGGTACCAGGAGTGGTTCTAGAGAAACAGAATCTTCAGTGCTGTTAGTTGTAAGGTTTCTTTTTTCACTTCTTTTTTTTTTTTTTTCCTTTTTGACTTTTTTCGTGATCGGCAACGGATCGCAACCCTCAGTGTCGCGCCCGTACCAGACCGGGACCAGCAATGGGATCACAACCCTTGGTGTTGCGTCCACACCTCGCTCAGCCAGTGAGTGACCGGTCTGTATGTGGGATCTGAACCCTCCGTGGGAGTGCCGCTGAGCTCCCAAGCAGCGCACTGTAGCAGTGCGCCACCAGGCCGGCCCTATTTTTTCACTTCTGATCATATTTATTTCAGCCTTCTCTCTTTTTTCCAGTTAGGGCGGCTAAAGATTTGTTCATTTTGTTTATCTTCTCAGAATATCAACTTTTGATTTTACTGATGTTATTCATTGATTTTCTGTTCCCTAGTTCATTTATTTCTGCTGTGATCGTTATTATTTATTTTCTTCTACTAATTACGTGATTAGTTTGTTTTCGATTATTTAGTTTCTTGAGGTGCAATGTTTACGTTGTTGATTTGAGACTTTTCTCCTTTTCTGAGGTCGGTGTGTATTGCTATAAACGTCCCCCGTAGAACTGCTTTTGTTGTATCCTATAGATTTTGGTGTAACGTGTTTTTATTTTCATTTGTCTCCAAATTTTTAACATTTTCTTTTTAGCCGTTTCCCAGTGGGCTGCGTTACCCGCGTTTCCGGGCGCCCCGGCCTTCCCCGGCTGCAGTCCCCTGGCGCGCCCGCTTGCGAGGTCTTTTGGCCCAGCCGGCCGCTGTCCCGCTTTCTCCGGCTGCGCGTGCGCGCTGGGGCTGGAATGCGGACGACGCTGGCGTGTGAGACGCGAGGAGCGCTTGCTGGTCGCCGGACGATTCCCATGCGGCCCTTCTGTCCTGGGCGCCAGAGACCAAGAGCGACCACCCAGGCCCAGGTGAGGCGGTGGGGGCGACATGGGGCTGGAGGCGGGGAGGGGAGGGGCGCGCCCGGGCCAAGTGTCCCCCGGGACCCGAATTCACAGGCCCCGAGTGTGCAGTGTCTCAGGGCCGACCCTTGGGCACTTGCGCCCCTCTGCCCAGCCGCACATCCCTGGAGCGCTCTGCAGGTCCCCCCGTCGGTGGGCGCCGGACTGTGCGCCCAGGTTTCTACGCCTGGAGGATCGCGCTGCCCCAGCGCCGCTTGCGGGCTGCCGTGGACAGTCTTCCACAGTTCTAGAGCTGGGGACTCCGGCCCTGGGTGCTTCCCCTCTGCCCTTTCTGCCCCGCGTCCATGTTGTGAAAAGGTACCTTCTGGGGGCTGGGGACAGCCCCAAAGGAGCTTCCTGGAGAGAGTGATCTGTGCCGGCTCCTGCAGAAACTCTCCAGGAGCCTCCTGTTGATCCTAGATTCAAATCTCTCTCCTCCCAGGTCTTGGAAGCTTTATCTGCGACGTCCAGTAGGCTGGCCACTAGCTAGGTGTGGCTATTTAAATCGACCTAATAATGAAGGACTCCATTCCTCAGTCGCAGTAGCCACATCTCAAGCTCTCAGTAGCCAGGTGTGGCCTTTTGCTGTTGTGTTGGATGGCCAGATGGGGAATCTTGCAGTCATCACAAAAATGTCTGTGGGCCAGGATGCTGGAGAAGATTGGCATGGCCCCTGCTTCTCTGACCCCTCCTCCTGCCAGATGCCATTCCAGCCACACCTGGCGCCCCTTCCTCTCCGACCTGCAGGCTTTCCTGTCCTCCTCTTAGTTCCTGGCCTGACTGAATCAATATTTTATTTTGTAAATTGCTCAATATTATTACAATGTATACGTATACCACATTAAATTGTCCATCAACTTTTTGGACATTTGGGTTATTTCCAGGTTGTAGTTGTTATGAATACAGCAACTATAAAAGTTTCTTCACATTTTTTTGTTTACATATGTCTTTATTTCTCTTGAGTAAATACCTAAGAGGTGGAATTATTAGGGCCTAGCGTAGGGGTCAAAATAAATAGTTTTCCAAAGTAGTACCATTTTATCATTTTATACTTCAATAGTTGAGTGTTTAATTTTGATGAAGCACAATTTATCATTTTTAAAATGGTTTTAACTTTTAGTGTTTTCTCAAGAATATCTTTTCCTATTCCAGTGTCATGAAGATTTCTCATATGTGTTCCCCAAGGAGTTTATCTTTTTAGCTTTCATGGTTAGGTCTATGATGATTTTAAAATTATTTTTTTGTGTACAGTATTAGGTAGAGCTTGCAGTTTATCTCATTTTATATATGTATCCAGTTGTTATAATATTATTTGTTAATTTACTTTTCTCCACTGAATTGCAGTGAACCTTTGATGAAAATCAAGTTTCTGCAGGTTTTATTTCTAAACTTTCTATTGGGGTCTATTGAGTTATGTTTCTCTCCTTACAGCAGTGATATACTGTGTGATTACAATGGCTTTTTAAGAAATTCTTAAACTTGGGCAGTGAAAGTTGCCTAAATATATTCTTTTTAAAAAGTATTTTTGTTTATGCTATATCTCTGCATTTTAATATAAGTTGTGAATCAGCTTCTGAGTTGCTACCAAATATTTTATTGGGCTCTGACTGGAACTACATTGAAACACATACATAAATGTGGGGAAACTGACATATCAACAATATTGAGTCTTACAATTCATGAACATGGTATGTTTCTCCATTTATTTGGGCTGCCTTAAATTTATAGGCTGTGCTTGTCATTCATTAACTCTTTTCCTAAGTGTTTTATTTAAACTTTTAAGTTTCCTTTTTCTCAAGAATCACAGTCCAATGTCTGAAAATAGTTACCCCATATATTTTGTATACTGTTTTATTTGTTTATTCCAAGAGGGTAAGTCTGAAGCTGTTACTTCCTCATGGCCAGAAGTGAAAATGCTAGAGCAGTCTTTGTAAGAGAAATCATTTTATGTTACCTTCTGTTCAGAACCTGCTATGGGTCTTCATTTTAATTACAGTAAAAAGCCTTACACGTCCTTAAAAGGTCCTACATAATTCATATACTGCCTCTCCCCTAGTCAACTCATTACCTCTCTGCCAAATATTGTCATTATTCCAGTAACAATAGCTACATTGCTGTTCCTCAGAATTTCCATGTAAGATCCAATGGGTCCTTTGCTCAAATGTTTTCTCTGTCTGTAATAATTTTACCCAGATATCTGCTTGGTTGATTCTTCCTCCTCCTATGTCTTTGCATAAATCTTATCTTCTCAATGGGGTCTACCAAAGTCACCCTGTTTAAAATGGGAAACTGGCCTTTCCACTATCTGGGAATAACAATCTCTCTTACCTTATTCTACTTTTTTCTTTTCTCATAATATTTTTGTCACTTTCTAGCACAATTGTTGTAAGGACACCATGGGCACTCAAGCGGAGGGGGAGGGGGAGAAGCATTCCCTAGCAATATGGCGCCCTTCCGGGTTCTTCTCCGCAGTAAACAAGCCCGCCAGTGCCAACACCCAAGCCCACCCGCGCCAAACCTCAGCCAGTCACAGGTCAAGGCTCACCTCCTGCCCAGCCCCGTCCAATCCGCTACCGCCCGTCCACCCCCTATCCAAACCCGGAACGCAGCTCACTATAAATATACACGCAGTCCTTGAATAAAGGGGAACTTCTCTGGCGAACTGTCAGCTCGGGTCCGTGAGCCCTTTCAATTGTAACTTAATTTTCTAGTATGTTTGTTCTTCATTGTCTTTTTTTCATGGAATAGAATACCTGTCAGCACCCTACCTATACCCTGTAGACTTTTTACAGTACTCCTGTTCTTATCAAAGTGCCATTTTTTGCATTTCTAAACTTTGGGGCTTTCTTCTAGAACCATGGAAGCCTGTTCTGTGCATAAGAGACTGAATGTGTGGAGAAATTAACACCCTCAAAGCATTGTTTTAACCAATGACTCACAAGAATTAGTCCATAAATACCCCAGCTCTCTCATGGATAATTCTCAATCCTGTTTTGCATTCTTTACCAGAGTTTCCATGCAAGATTAAGTGTCAATTACCAACAGTCATAGCTAACAATAATTCATCATTGATTGGTTTTCTATCCCTAACTCAATTATCCACTACCATACCTTCCAATAATCTACTCATAAATGAATTATTTGCACTCAGATTCTTTATTCAGGATCTGTTTCTGAGGCAACCCAAACTAAGAGATCAAATAAAGTGTAAACTTAATGAAGGCAAGGATTCTTTACCTTTTTTTTTTTTTTTGTCTTTTTCCGTGTCCGGCAACGGATCGCAACCCTCAGTGTTGCCCCCGTACTGGACTGGGGACCGGCAACGGGATTGCAACCCTCGGTGTTGCTCCCGCGCCTCGCTCAGCCAGTGAGCGGGAACCGGTCTGTATGTGGGATCCGAACCCTCGGGCGGGAGCGCCGCCGCGCTTCCCAAGTGGCGCAAGCACCAGGCCGGCCCAGGATTCTTTACTTTTTAAAATCATTAATTTTGGGGCTGGCCCGGTGGTGCACTGGAGAGTGTGCTGCTTGGGAGTGCGGCGGCAGTCCTGCCGAGGGTTCAGATCCCATGTGGAGACCGGTTCCCGCTCACTGGCTGAGCACGGTGCGGACGCAACACCGAGGGTTGCGATCCCATTGCCGGTCCCCGGTACGGGTGCGACACCGAGCGTTGCGATCCCGTTACCGGTCAGTAAAAAAGACAAAAAGGAAAAAAAAATCATTAATTTTAAATGATGTATCTCAAATCCCTACAACAGGGTCAGGTGTAGAGTAGGTATGCAAATATTTGTGTAAGGAATTATCAAACAATAAATACTTTCCAGAAGCATTCTATAGTAATTATACTGATAATAATTGAGTTTAATTTGAGTTTTTATGACCTATGTTTAGAATTCTGAGTTGACAATTTTAGAGGTGTAAAAGTTAACTGCATTGTTATTTGCATTTTAAAATGTCTTTATTTTTTTTTTCAATTTTTAAATGTTTCTAGTGGTTATTTATGTTTATTTTATAAGTTGGTTTGCTCTTTGCAATTTTCCTTTGAGGACGTAACTTTTTTAATAATTAATTTTTGCAAGTGTTTTTTTCCTTGTTTTTTTTATCTTGACTTATTTTATGTGTAGAAATTTTAAATTTAGTTAGATGAATTCACTTTTTTGTGTGACTCTCCCTATGACTGTACTCAAAATATTAACCTATGTAATCTTCTTCAATACTTTTTAAAATTGATGTTTATTCTTTATTTTCACCAGAAACTATTTTTATTTGAGATAAGTCTTTTTCCTTTGATGTAGATAACTAATTAATCTTTTTCCTTTGATGTAGATGACTAATTACTCCAGTAATGTTTTTCAATGTATTGAGCTATAATTTGAAGAATAATCAAAATTAACTATGTAGACAAGGA